CCCTACACTGTACACAAAAGGCCAAATGCTCATTCATTTTTCTGGAGGTAAAAGTGGATCCAACTGGTCAGTCACTGACACTCAGCTGCTGGACAGGCTGCGTTCGTATTTCTTTGCTGTTCGTGTGTTACACGGACTTGTTAAAATGTCACAGCTTGGAGATGCACTCCACAAAATATTTCCACTTACAACAAAAACTTTTGTGAACTTTTTGAATTAGGAAAAAAACCAAACCATCATTAGGGATCAGAATTCCTAGTTACTATGAGAACAGTGTAGAGTGTTAGGCTCCTTCTTGACTATGATTTAATCTACAGAAATACACGCTTTATAAAGAACTGTCATCGCCATGCTTTATAAAGAACTTTTCATCCAAAAAACCAGCAACAGAAAAACCACAACACTCAGAACCCACCTGAATATTTGGCACATTTTTTCTTTTTATTTTGGGCATTTTTTTTTTTAAATCAGGACCCTCTCATACTGCCATATTCAAAAGTTAAAAAAAATAACTTTGGAATTTTGGGTATGGAAGTAGTTTGGTAATTGTGTTTTGGAAAGCTAGAAATGGAAAATTTACTTGAATTTAGAAATTTAATAATCCATTAAGTAAAGACCTCTTCCCTCAGCAGCTGTGCTTCCATTAATTCAAAAACTCCACAAAACAAAAAGCCACAAAACAAAACTATTTTGACAAAGCATGCTCCAAAGAGGTGAAAATTCAAAGTAATCAGATCACAGGAAGGAACGCATTTAAAATATCATCTGTGGCCTACACATCCCACAATTCACTTGATTCTTGGCTGAAATAACCCTTAAATCCATGGAAAAACACAAACAAACGGAAGGCTAATACAGTGATGCATGCATTACATCTTTATAAGTAGGTATAATTCATCAATTTTACCTAAAATTTACAAAGCAACGATCCTCCATCCACCCTGTTACAACTACTGGTATACACACTTACAAAGACAGAAATGTGTTTCATAGAAGGACATCAAGAATCTTAGGAAATTAAAATATTTTATATGTGAACACGTATGGCAACTAAAAACAAATATTAGAGATGTGATGGAGCTCTGCAGAGAGCAAATTTGGCTTCTCTTTGTGGCCCTACCACTGACCAGCCACATATCCCTAGGAAAGCTCTTCATACACAGTCTATCCTGTGCTAAGAGAGCAGAGCAAAGTAGTAGGTGGAACACTGGCTTGTGGCCTATGCCTTCACCTAAACCACTCTGCACCATCTCGCAGTTGTAACAGAGATGCTTTTAAACTTCTGAAAAGTGCAGACATAGGGGCTGTGGCTTTGCAAGTCCCAGGGATTGCACAGTCAGTACAACACATGTTTTCTCACAAATGACCCTAGATAACATCTATCTATCTATCCCATAATTAAAACATACAGCTTCTGAAGAGAACAGGTTGAGCTAAACAGATAAATATCTGCTAGTCTGGGGTTTATATGTGGCAAACAATTTAACACAGTAGGAAATAACTTTTTTCCAGCACTAGGGCATCTGATTCTTCTGTGACTGGATGATTCTCCCCCTCATTTAGCACATTGCTCCTGGGAAGTGCTGCAAAAAGTCACAAGCTGCCCATAAAGAAATATCTACTGGAGATTCACAGGGAACAGAATGAGAATATCTGTGACTTGGGCATACATTTGCTCTTCTTTTTCAATAGATGAAAAATAGATGCCAGCTGGCACTAATTCATTTTTTTTAATACGAATAACTGCAGGACTGACAGTTGTATAACCCCCAGGCATGTAATTTGTAGCTGAAATATGTACATTTGGAGAGGGAGAAAAGAAAGAATAAGTACAACATAGTTCAGACTCAAAACAAAAGGTGTTAAACTGAACCTTGGGAATATTTATAATAGAAACAAATCCGACAGAAACAAACCTTTAACAGCTCCCTCCTTCATTTGCTAGGACACAGCCTGATAAAGCACAGAAATGCTACTGTAGCCCCTGAAGGCTTATTTTGACTAAATCTCAGGAATGCAACATATAAACACTAGACTCCCACATTACACTGTTACAACTTGCATTAGCAGCAACTGGACAAAAGCCACATTTTCACAGAAACATCTTACAGAGATAAATCTTATGTTTAGGTTTGGGGTTTTTTTGGGGGTGGTGTTTTTCATATTGTTGTTGGTTGGTTTGGGTTGTTTTTAAACAGTTTCCTAACATAAATCACACTACAAACAACAGCAATTTTACTTTCCTTTTAAAACCATACCAAGAAGCCATGTTTACCTATTTAACACAGTACACTTTTTATACCAGAAAGTCACAGCTATGAATGGCAGCTCTGTTTTCTTTCAGAACACCAGAATTACAGTTTCAAGTCTCCTTTCTTATACTTTGCTTTTTCTAGAATTGCTTAATAGGGAAAAGAAAAAAAAAGTACTACCTGAATTCCATGCTAGCAAATGTGTATTTCCTATCTTAAATTATTTGTATCAGGAAATTACTTTGTAGTGCAATGTTGACTCAGAATCTTACTGTGCTATGTGCTGTTAAAAACACTCTGTGGCATTTTAGTATTTCCATTAAAAACAATTTTTCGGTATTTCAGTTAAACAATAGATCCCAAAGCATAAAAAATGGCAAAAATAACCCAACTATCTCATCATATTTTATTTTATTATTAAATATTTTATTAATTTTGTTATCAGAACTGCCACCACTTAAGAGAATACTATGTTGGAATTTCTTTCCCAATTGAAAACCAATTTCACATATACCTGTAGCAACAAACAGGGACAGTGCAGCCTTCTTTTAAGTTTATGCTGCCCTCTTGTGACTTTCACGTATAATTGCTAGAGCAAACAAGTCACCTTAGCCTAAGATGGTGAATATTTACTTTTAAAATATTATTTCATAATTAATTTTATTTTAGAAGAGAATTTCATCAGGGGTAGAATCTATTAGTTACTAATGAAGGCTGGTGGTGGGATGTTGATGCATAGCAAAACAAGTTCTCAGAAGAAAAACAAAAGGACAGAATAACTGGTGTATAAAAGGTAATTTTGACCATCTTTCACCTTGCCATAAAGCATGAATGGCAGCATCTATTAAAGCCATAATAAGGTAACTTACGTTTTTCCAGGAGATTCTTTTAACCAGAACAGATCATCACTTGTGATTCCATACTCCAGTGCACCCGCAATCTACGGACAGATAGGTAACATCTTAAATCTACAGTCCAAATCCTGGCAGAAAAGAAAGCTAATAGCAACCATTAGCTGAAGCATAGACAGCAGACCAAGATGAATATATCTACGGTTGCCCAGATACGTTATCCAGTCTTCATCTTTGTAGATTTTCAAAACGTGACTGCAAAAAGCCTTGAGCAACACGATCTGACCTCATAGCTGAGGTTGGACTAGATGACTTCTAGAGATCTCTTCCAACCTGAATTATTCTACAGCTCTAATAACCATCAACACACCAAACTCATGCAAATTGTTTTCTGTGGAAATGTTTTTCCTGAAAAGCCCATGCTTTATATAAAATATATTTTTTCACATGACACAAGTACAAAAATGTCTCATGTTATTTTATATTTACATTTTTTATCCTCCAAACATTCATTATCTGCAAGAAAACCAGTAAAGCCATTGGAGCTGTCAGATGGCAAGTGCAACTTACGTGTATAGGATATTTTGGTCTTCCTCCAGTAGCAATGACAATATTTTCTGCAGTAACAACAGTCTACAAACAAACATACAAAATCAAAATCAAGCATTTGAAATCCTTTCATCTGTCTTTAGATTTTGTCTATCTACAAATGACAAAGCTGGCACTACCATCTGCTATTTATATGACATAATAATCAACAAAGTAAAAAAAAGGATGGAGATAAAATAAACTACGCTACCTCTAAAGTGGCATGTTTTTAGAAAATGCTACCCCAAAAAACTTTTGCTATCTCAAGCTGATGTTAACCAGTAACATCATGTAATTACCCTCAAAAAGGTGTTAATATGCATGTTGAGTCTTTTGTTAACTATGCAGACAAGGCCATCATTCTGTTATGTGACCCAGTTGCTTGAAGCTGTGCATTCAGTATAACTGCGTCCGACACAGAATTTTGTATTAGAAAGCTAAGCACCTTTACAATTCATCTGAAGGAAGAAGACATGACAGGCTGATCTAATGCCCAGAGCAATAAGGAGATGTTGGTCCTCCATACATCTCTGTAAGCATCTATCAAAGCAGTTTGACTCTGATCAAAAATTTAAAAAAACATCTTTTGTCTCAGCGATTCCACATGCAAAGAAATAGTAATGGCATCTAACTGACAGGTTAGAGGCTAGGAACTCAGTAAGTTCATAAGCATCTTCTCTAGGTGGAAAATGCAAATTTCCCTCACTAAAACAATACTGAATATCTAAAGCAATTTACAAAAGTACAATCTAGGTCCCAGCTGACCTGAAAACCAACACATGAAGACCCGACATGTTTGAAGTGATTGATACTGCAAAATTCAGCACAGCAGCTTACCTCTTTTCCTGCTTTTGTTATACCAAGGATCGTATGCGGGTCAGAAAAACTCCCTTTCATGTTGAAATACTTCACCTTCCTGTTTAGAAAAAAACAGGAACATAAATGTACACTTAATGAAGAACAGGAATGACATAAAGTCAGCTACTTTTTCTATATCTGAAGTGCTAAAAAGGATAGCAAACAGACATAGAAAAGTAAAAGGAACAAAGCATCTCATTTCATAGGATTGATTGCAGCTCTGTCACATATTTCAAGTCACTTAATTCTTGTGGCAAAGTTAACTCCTCTATACAGCAGAGGACCTAAACTTGTAACATGGTTTGGGAACAGATTATTGATCTCTTCAAATGATGCATTTTCACTAGTCACAGCATTACTATTACCATCTATAACATTACTAATACAATGCTCATTTGAGAGCATACAAAAGTGACTCAGCAGGAGTCACAAGACTAGCACCTGCTAAATTATCTATTAATATAATTTCTCTATTAAAAAAACTGAATGCTGGAAAACTCGGAAACATTTCTGCACTGAAAGTAAAAAATTCAGCTGCTCTAGTACAGCGTTATCTGTGGGCTTGTATGGCATATACGTTTTGGTGGACAAGCTTGAAAATATCCTGAGCAACCCTGACTACTTCATATTAATGCGAAATCTCTCCATATTAAAAAGATCATTCCCTGGTCACTGTGCTCTTGGAAAGCTTTCACGTATGGTCACTTTCTACCACTATTTCCCAGAAAAGGAAGGGGAAGGGGGAGAGGGGGAGAGGGGAAATCACATCTGCAAAGGCACTTACAGTCCTGAGCAGAAAGGACTTACAAACTCAAAATACTAGCTCTAATGAGAAACTCCAAAGGCAATTTAGCAGTTCTACATGGAGAAGAGCTCCTTGACTACGGGAAGAAAGATGAACTTCAAAGTCTTATTTACTTGTCTTGTAGCTGCACTCTGTGTCCCCAGTTCAAGGATTTCACATAATTCTGAACAGCTTGTGCCATCACAGACCTATCACAACACAAGAAACTGAAGATGATGTCATCACATTACAAATCCAGACTACACAACTCAAAGATACACACAATTGCTAGAAATTAGAAGTGTTCCACAGTACTTTTTGTTATAAAAGTAAATTATCAAGTCCAAATCAACATAACATCTGCCCTGATAAACCAGTAAACATAGCATCGTGTATTAAAAAAGGAGTAGTCTAAAAAGCTTCATGCAAAATTCACTTCCCTAAATAAACACCAACTGAGAAAAGTTGTTGTGCATTTGCAGTACATAGCAGTGGATATGTGCAATAATCTTTACCAGGTATGATGAACAGGTTGGGCTATATTCCAGCCATAGTGTTGGGCATCTTTAAGGGCACTCCCCAGAAGGGCTGCTTGATGCATAAGCTTTTTAGGAATGCAGCCAACATTCACACAAGTTCCACCAAGTCCCCATTTGGTTTCTTGGGAAAAAAAAAAAAGTAAATGCACAAGGTTAGTGTAGCTTAATACAATTGGGTTACTTAGAGAATTAGGTTGTTCACGCAATTAGGTAAAAAGCTCTAAAACAGTCTACTGTCTCCTACAGATCAGATTCTAACTCTACTTATGTTAATTTGTTTTGACAAAAACCATTGCTATATATTTTTCTTCTAAAATTCAAACCATCTCAAGTTGTTTCTCAGAGCTCTGAAGAACCAGTTACTACAATATCCACATTTGCTTATTTGCCTTTGCTGATTTTACTTTACATACTGTACGTGACATTTTGACACAGACAAGATTCTCACATATTTAAGTCCAAAGTCTACCACAAATGGTAGCATCAAACACTGCTAACAGCCTTAATGTGCAGGGGAAGCAGGCAGAGCTGGGACATCATTGGAGGGAATAAGCAGTATGGCAAGCTGGGCTTAAGGCCCTTTACTAAAAGCAAAGCAGGCACCGTGGCTTTGGCTGTTTTGCTGCCTGGAGCAATCTGCTCACCTAGGCAACCATTTTATACGCATGTCCAAATATTATCCTAGTATTTCTCTTCCGTACCTTGTGGAGAAGGTTCCACATAATCCAAAACAGCTACTTTCTTTCCAAACTGAGCAGCTTTAAACAAAAAGCAAGACAAGGTATTTAGGAGGAGGGAGTAACACACAAACATAAACATTTTTTAGTAGCACAGGCACAAATTCAGCATACAGGATGGATGGTGGTCTATACTGTGTACCTCAGGATGTCAGACTAGGGACCCAGGCTGCCTATGTAGTCAGCAGATAATCCAGAGGCACTTAATAACCCAGACTAGAGCCTCCATCTTCCACTGACCCTAAAAATGCAATTTGATCCCAAATGAGGTGTTTAAGAACCCTGTGGGTTGTTGAACACGTTATATTGAGTTACAAAGGGGCAAGGTTCTCTACAGCAGTTAAACAGCTCTTGGAAACAGACTGAAGGGGTTGTTGTTTTAACACATAAATAAGAAACAGTATAATTTTAAAAATACAGTATCTATGGAGGCACTCAGAGTATTTTACAATAACAGTGAAATAAAAGCTTATTAGATTTTCGCATGACAAAACAAGAAATATTTTTTTAAAAGTTTAATAGGAAAGCCAAACAAGATGAGGGTGTGAATGAATCTGCAGATTAACTGTATGGATCTCAGTCAATGATTAATGGGCAGGGACTTAAGGATATTATGTCTCTTAAAAAACTTTAGCATTATCAGTAACACTTCTCTTAGTTTCCATAAACACCACTAAAGCTAACCCAAAACTTTCATCAGTTACTTAAACATACAAACCTTCTTTTGCACAAGCAAGGCCTCCAGACCCTCCACCAATTACCAGAAGATCATATTCCCTCTTTCCTGTGAAGAGGCCATGAAAGACGAAGGAAACGAAACAGGCAAAGAAGACGGGAAAGGTATGTAAGAAAGTAAATATAAAAAAGTACACTATTTCTTACAATTTATTATTGCTGATTTGGGTTTTCTTTACTAAAGTACGGTGTTTTTCAGTGTCCCAAAGCATTCTCAAAAAAATCATTAAACTATCTAATCTGATTTTGTGAATGAAATACAGAAAAAGCAATCCAAAAGATGTGAGGAAACAGACTAGATTTTTACACAATATCCCAAGAAGCTCTTTGTGCACAACTAGACAATTACAACTGAGATCCAGTATAGGTCTTCTGTCTCTACATTACAGCAGCAAGTTCTAACAATGATCTTTTAGCAGCGTCACCTTACTGGATTCACAAAGCTTCAGCTGCAACATAGGCAGGCAGAGGGAAGCTGACCCCTTCTGCCACCTGTTTCCCCACAGATCAGCCCAGTTTCCTAGAGCAGTTTTGAAGTGGCAGAAGCCCACAGGTGAGCAATAACTCATTTCTTAGCAACGGCATCAGAGCAACCCCTGCTTTCAGAGAGCTGCCAGCAGTCGAGGGAGGACTGACGAGGCCTGCAGCACCCCACCAGCTGTGCCATCATAAGGGTGGGTGACCTTTTTCGGCAGTTCAGAGAAGGCAGTCAGACTGGAAAGGCTGATACCCCCCATCGTTGGAGTTAAGCCTAGAGAAAAGGTTTGGTTGTCTCTCAAGCTGCCTCGGTACCTCTCCAGAAAGCCCCACCGCAGGGGCGCAGGAGGCCTTGCCCACCTCACAGCCACCTGCGGCCCGGGAACTCCCTCAGCAACTCAAGGGCCGAGGGACGGACTCCGAAAGAGGAACCGGGGCGAGGGGGCTCCCAAAGCCATTACGGATGCAGGCAGCTCCCCACCCTCCCCGCCTCAGGGACTGAGAGAGGGCAGTGGCGCCACCGAGGTGGGGCGGCGGTCTCCGGTGCCCAGAGCGATCACTCAGGTAAGGCCCCCCCCCGGCCGTGCGGTTGATGGTAACAGCTTGGGGGAGCCTCTCCAAGCGCTCTCGGCGTCAGGAGGAGAGGGCAGTCCGCTTCTCGCGAGGAGAGGCGGAGGTACGGTCTCTGCCAGGCCCGAGCCCAGCGGGCACCCCGTACCTGAGAGGACTCGTACCGTACGGCGCAACCCCGAAACTGCCAGG